GACCTATCTTTCTTATGGATGTTGATTAAAAAATACTCAATAAAATACTTGCAAACTGAATCCAAGAATATACAGATAAGAGATCTTTGAGAAAGAAGCCAAAGCTACACAATGGAAAAAAGATAGCATCTTCAACTAATGGATCTGGTCTAATTGTATGTCTACATGTAGAAAATGGAAATAGATCCATATTTATCACCCAGGAAAAAACTGAAGTCCCAGTGGATCAAAGACCTCAACATAAAACCAGACACACTAATCTGTTAGAAGAAAAAGTGGGAAAGAGCCTTGAACTCATTGGCACAGGAGAGAACTTCCTTAACAGAACACCAACAGCACAGCCTGTAAGATCATCAATCAATTAATGGGACCTCATGAAACAGAAAATTTCTGTAAAGTAAAGGACACTGTCATCAGAAAAAAAATAGACCCTACAAACTGGGAAACAATCTTCACTATCCCTATATCTGACAGAGGGCTTATATCCAGAATATATAAAGAACTCAAAAAGTTAAAAGGCAACAAATCAAGTAATTCAAATAAAAATGGGGTACAGAGCTAAACAGAGAATTCTTTGTAGAGGAATTTTGAATGGAAAAGAAACACTTAAAGAAATGCTCAAAATCCTTAGTCATCTGGGAAATGCAAATTAAAACTACCCTTGTATTTCTCCTTACACCCATCAGAATGGCTAAGATCAAAAACTCAAGTGAGAACACATGCTAGAGAGGATGTGGATAAAGGGGAACCCTCTCCCATTTCTGGTGGCAATCTAAAATTGTACAACCACTTGGGAAAGTAATCTGTTGCTTTTCTCAGATAATTAAGAGTAGTGCTACCTCAAGATCCAGCTATACTACTCCTAGGTACATATCCAAAATATGCTCAAGTATGCAACAAGAATATTTGTTCAACCAAATTTGAAACAGCTTTATTCTTAAAAGCCAGAATCTGGAAACAACCCAGTTGTCTCTCAACTGAGGAAGGGATACAGAAATTATAGTATACATTTACACAATGTAACACTACTCAATGATTAAAAACAAGGAAATAATGGAAATTGTAAACAAATGGTGGAAACTAAAAAAGATCAGACTAAGTGAGGTATCTCGGAAGCAGAAAGATACACATAGTATTATATACTCACTTATAGTAGATAGTAGATGTAAAATATAGGATAAATATACTAAAATCATACGCCTAAAGAAGCTAAGTAAGAATGAGGACCCTGGATAATATGCTCAGTCCTCATTCATAAAAGCAAATGGGATGGACATCAGAAAAAAAGAGAATACAGGGAACAGGACAGGAGTCTACCACAGAGGGCCTCTGAAAGATTCTACCCAGCAGGATATTAGAGCAGATGTTTGCTGGGAGCCAAAGCTATTTAGTGGAAACAAAGCTATTTACTGAAGCAAAATCCAAATAGTGAGCAAAGGCCATTTAGTGGAGACAAAGCCAATTACTGAAAAAGTTATCAACAGCTGCAATAGAACTCTAGGTCATGGGTGATAGATTTGTGTGAGGACATCCACTTGTTAGTCTTGGAGCTGCCTTGAGATATCTTAAGTAAACATCCTTACAGAATCTTACAGGTACAATATTCAAGCCATGAAAGCACTCTTGCTATCTTCTGCAGCAGTAAATTAGCCTCCCCCCCCATTTCCTGCCTTCTCCCTATATAAGTTGTGTAAAAAATTTAAATAGACAAGGCCTTGATCGGAAAAACTGACTTGGTCTCTATTCTTCATGTCTTTGTCCCATCCCATTCTTTTTGCCCCTCCTTAGGAACCCGTTGAACTACCACTGGATGGGACAGATGTTGACACTCATAGGCAAACTTTGGGCAGAGTGCAGGGAATCTTATTAAAGGAGGCAAAGATGAAAGACCTGGAGGGGGCAGGAGCTCCAGAAGAAGAGCAACACAACTAAAAAATCTGGGCCCAGGGCTCTTTTCTGAGATTGACACTCCAAACAAGGACCATGCATGGATATAACCAAGAACCCCTGCACAGATGTAGCCCATGGCAGCTCAGTCTCCAAGTTGGTACCCTAGTAAGTGGAACAGAGATTGTCTTTGACATGAACTCAGTGGCTGGCTCTTTGATCACCTTCCCCTGAGAGTGGAGCAGCCTTAACAGGCCACAGAGGACGACAATGCAACCAGGCCTGATGAGACCTGATAGGCTAGGGTCAGATGGAAGGGGAGGAGGACCTCCCTTATCAGTGGACTTGGAGAGGGGAATGGAAGGAGAATAAGGAGGGAGGGTGGGATTGGGAGAAGACGAGGGAGGGGGCTCTAGCTGGTATACAGAGTAAATAAATTGTAATTAATAAAAAATAAATATATTTTTAAAAAGAAAAGGTAATTGAATGTCCTTGAAAAGAGAACCTCAACTATTGGAAGAAAAGCACTTTGCCAGGCAGCTTCTTAAAAATATCCCTGAAGAGTTGCTGATTATGGGTATGCAGGATAAAGTGTCAAATGGCTCAAAATTTCCTGTGATATATTTATACTTTAGTAAATTAGCAAAGATTTCATGTATATTTCCATCAATCTGCTATAAACTTCTCACAGATAACTAAATCCAATATTCAAACATGTCTGCTTAATCATGTTTTGACTCCAGCATTAAATAAATATGAACTGAACCCTCAGCTACCTGAATCCTGTGGTCAAAACCCAGAAATTAGTAGAAATTCCTTCCACCTCCCTCATTCACAAATCTATTTCACCATCAGATAATTCCTCATTTTTTTATATTTGTACTCTCTTCTTTCTCAGTGTCAGTTCCCCTGCCTGAGTCCAGACTTACCATCAATTCTTACTCTTGTGGTCACTGTGTCTATCTCCCTATCTTCACCACAGTATGTTCTAAATTAACCTCCAGAAGGAAGTAACAAGCCTAATTAAGCTGTTTCCTACATATAAATCCTTTAATTATCCTGATTAACCCCTAAGATAAAAGTCTAGAAAGACATTTAATCCCAGGATTTGAGAGGCAGAGACAGATGATCTCTGTGAGTTTGAAGCCATCCTGGTCTATACAGGAAGTTCTGTGATAGACAGTAGACAGGCTACATAGTGAGACCCTTTCTCAAAAAAAAAAAAAAAAAAGGCACAAATCACACTAAATAAACCCTTACTAGGACTTTACTCCCATTCCTTCACATATACCTATTTATAGTCTTCCAATTCTATAAGTTAGGTAATAGGCATCAATGTCTACACTTTCTGATAACTGACTCTAGACTAGGTTTCCCCCACACAATAAACATTCTTTTAACACCATGCCAGGAGCTGTCTTGCGGGATCAGTCCTGTTATATAGTAATAAGCTTATTTTTAATTTACCTCAACAACTGGTATAAGTAGTCACCATTTGTCACCTAGATCTAATATTCACTCTCTTGGCTTTACTCTGTCTTGACTCCCCTAAAATGAGTAAGTCGAGCTCACTTGCAGTTTCCTATGATTAAGTTCTACCCTAGGAAGTACCAACAAACTAGTCCAAAGTAGGAGGTGATAGAAAGTCAAATATTTACCCTACTGCTCTCTCACTGTCTCAGCTGGAGTTCTAGTAATGGCTCCACTGTTCTCTCACTCTATTACTTATTAGTAATTATTAGTTGCCTCATTGTCCATGATTTTATATCCTGCTCGATCAACACTTTACTCTTTACTCTTGCTCCTTCAGAATTAGAGATACTAGCAGGTACCACCTACTTTCTGTTTCTTTTAATACTGCCCTACACTCTATACATAATTCATTTTCTAAAGTATATTTAGTTAAACACTATGAAATATTCATCTGTTTGTCACTGACATTCTAAGAGACAACCTTAATGTTCACTTCCCTCAGTCCCCATTCCAAAAGGCAAAGAGGATGGACATCAGAGGAGAGAGAAAACCGGGAATAGGACAGGAGCCTACCACAGAGGCCTCTGAAAAGCAATCCTGAAGGGTATCAAAGCAGTTTCTGAGACTCATAGCCAAACTTTGGGCAGAGTGCAGGGAATCTTATGAAAGAAGTGGGAGATAGTAAGACCCGGAGAGGACAGGAGCTCCAAAAGGACAGCAACAGATCAAAAAAGTCTGGGCACAGAGGTCTTTTCTAAAACTGATACTCCAGGCAAGGACCACTCATGGAGATGGCCTGGAACCCCTGGCACAGAAGTAGCCCATGGCAGTTCAGTGTCCAAGTTGGTGTCATAGTAATGGGGACAGGGACTGTCTCTGACATGAACTGATTTGGCCTGCTCTTTGATCATCTCCCCCTGAGGTGGGAGCAGCTTTACCAGGCCACAGAAAAACACAATGCAGCTATTCCTGATGAGACCTGATAGATTAGGATCAGAGGGAAGGGAAGGAGGACCTCCCTTATCAGTGAACTGGAAAGTGACACAGGTGGGAAAAAGGAGGGTCAGATTAGGAGGGGAGGAGGGAAGGAGGTACAGGAGGGATACAAAGTGAATAAACTATATTTGATAGAAATAAAAATAACTAAATAAAAATTGTTTTGATTTGACAAAAAAGAACATAGAAAATGTTTTAATTACCTTATAGACTAGACTTAGTTTAGTGTTTAGGCTATAACTGTGATTTATCAAATATTTGCTGATGAAGAAATAACTAAGTCACTTAGAAGAACACTTTTTCTGTAACTGTTCAAATAAGAGATATTCTATACTTTGTGAGACATGATTTCTGACCAAATTCTTCAACTCTGCCACTATACCATGGAAGCAGCAATATGTAAATGAATATATATTCTAATAAAATGTTTTTATAAGGTAAAGTTCAAATCAGATTTGGCCCAAGAGGCTTAGTTTGCCAACTCCTGAAATAAAAAAGATACAATGCACTCATGAAAGTATATATTTCATTTAAGCCAAAATAAACATGACTTCTGACACGAGTAAACACAGAGAAAATACTTTTTCAAACAATTTTGAAAATATAAAATTTGCTTTATAATACTATTAGAGCATGAAATATACCTGCATGTCCCTTAAAATCCATTGCAAAAAGTGGAAAATCTTTTAGATTGAACTCCACTTTGGCACGTGTCACACCTTTGTTTTTTATTACAAATGTAATAGTTTCTGTACTGCCAATATAGGTACCACTGAAATTAAAAATATTCTAAAAATAAAAAAAGAAATAATTAGAAAAACAGAGTAATGCTTTACAAATATGTACAATCAATTTTGTATTTTTGTATTTGTCTAGGAGATTAACTGTCGAAGAAATCTCTACAAAACTTTATCTTCCTCTTCTACCTGATCCTATAAATAAGATACCAAAACACATTAATCCTGCTCCTCTTCTTCAACCACTTTATTAGATTATATCTGTATGAAAATAATAACTAGTCAATGGTTATTTAGTTTTTAGACTTTCAGGTTCTCAAATCCTTCTCTTCACTAACTAAGTCACAAATTTCTCTCATATTTGATCTTCACACACTAACAAAGGACAAGGTTTAAGCTCATCAGCGTTACTCATAAAGTTGTCCACGTCTTTTAGTGTCTCAAATTCTAGCCTCATCTAAGCTCCTTTCTCATCCTAACACTTAATAATTCAGTAAGCTCTATAACTTTTTGCATTTCAAACTAATACCAGATATTTCACCCTGTGTTTTTTAATCAGTGTCTCCATTGTCAAGAAGACACTTCTCTAAATTTAATTGCCAGATAATGTGATATATCCATAAATAGTTCAGATAAATTATACCATGGTAAGAATAACTTATTCCTTATATTAATTTGCCTCATGACATCACAATATCTGTTCACATATTTGACTATCCTAAAAAATAACAGGATTCATTTTCGTGTACATGCACACATGGTTGTATTCTTGCATGTGTCTAAGTCTATCTGTTGCATTGGCTACTTACTGAGTAATTTTGAACTCTATCTCATGCACCAAGTATGTAATTTATCACAAAACTCTCTAGGGTACCTCATTACAGAATTATTACATTATTATCAAAAGCAGCACACAGAAAATTAAAGGAACATACATAGTGGCAACAGAATCATAATATTGAGTAAAATACTTCATTAGTATCAACTTACTTACAAATACATTTAGAAATTATAAAATATATAATAAATATTTGACATTTTTTGAATACATAAACATTATTTCTATTTCTTCATTATATGTTCATTGGGTTAAAATTTGTAATTGTTATTAAGATGAAATCTTAGTTCTACGACTTTTACAACAGAGATCTTATATGCATTTTAAAAATTCATAACAGCAACTGTTGTTGCTGCTATCATTATTACTGAGACATGAGTTTTATATGGAGTCCACGCTGGTACCTAATTTGTGTTCATTCTCTCTTAGGCTACTGAATGTTACAATTACAGACAAGCTGTACCAAAAATGATGAGTAACTTATTTTTTAAAGAAGACTATATATCTAAATTTGAAAATAATCAGGGCTTATTGATAAACACATATCAACATAGAGCCCTCTATTTTATAGTAATTTCCAAAGAGTGCCCAAAATGGATTTGGCATGAATAAATAGAGCAATAAAAGCCACAACATTCAATATTTTCCATAAAGTTTTCCATACTAAAGTGAAAGACACTTTAGCTTTTATGAGATTTGATTTTCTTTTCCTCCCCATTATTGGAATAGAATTTTTTCACATATTATACATCCTGATTATGGTTTGCCCTCCCTCCACTACACCTCTGAGTTCCTCCCTACCACACCCTTCCATCTGTCTCTCATTATAAAATAAAAAGGTTTATATGGGATAACAATAATATAAAATATAATAAAATAAGACAAAAATTTTGTTGGACAATTAAAGTACAGGCTGGCACTGAGGTTCTGAGATAGCCAGTTAAGCTCTTTAATCATTATATTTTACAGTTTAGCACAATAATGGCACCAGATTGTGAAACAATTGGAAGAAATAAGCAAAGTTGCAAGCAATCCCAAAAATAAGATAATGGTTACAGTGCAGGAGTTTTCAGAGGATAAGAAGTTGATAAGGTTGCTAATTATAGTGTGTTCAAATAAATAACCAGGGCACATCAGTGAAGAAAAATACAGTATAGTTTCATTCAGGTTAAATCAACGTTGGAAACACAATATTCAATTTAAGTAATCTTCAAAGACTACAAATATTTCATATGCTTAGAATAATTCACAACTAGACCAATTAAACCAATAGCTAAGCATAATTTGATTATAGGAAAAGAATCATCTGTTATGAAGGATGAGAAAATAATGAGATCATTTTCATACTGTTAGCTTTCTCAGGCCTAAGTTCAGTGTTTTATTCTTAAAAATTCAATATTCTACATCATCACTTACATTTATATTACATAATTGGATATTATATTTAAAATTCCTACAATCAAAAATATTTGTAGACATTAATTGACAGACTAGGGACACATAACATAACTGTCACAATCATAAATTAAGCAGACAAGCATGTGGCATACTCACAGGTGTGATTTCAACATCAGCAATTTCAACAGATCCACCAATCCTAAGATCTATTACATTTGCATCGCGAATAGCAACCTTATTTAGGAGAAATAGGAAATTTTGTAGAAATTACAATTAAATATGACAATATTACCTGAAAAATTCCAAGCCCTTATATGCCACTTTGTAATTTAAATAAAAGCAATTATGTGTGTGCACGGACATGTGAGTATGCGTGTTGTGTGTGTGGATATGTGCGTGTTTGTATGTGTGTATGTGTGTTTGTGTGTGTGTGTCTGTGTGTGTGTTTAAATTTTATTCTGGCAGTTATTAGAACTTCTTTGCTAGAATTGATACTGCTTTGAAAACTGAGTGTTGAACCATTATGAATTTGAATGCAGAGTAATGTGTATTTGGATAAACCTAATTATAATTCTATATTAACACATTTTTCTTTATCCAATTACAATATTTTATTCAAAATAATAAAAGTATGGTTGAATGATATATTTCTCTGTTCCACAGAAATATGCTAATATATGTAATAACTATGAAAACAGGTCAAAATAGTTCTAGAGGTCTAATATAGTACTTACTACATTATCTTCTTTTTAAGTACCTAATAAACTATGGCATAACTCTCTTTAAGAAGCCTAATTTCAAAGTGCAAAAAACTACTATTTAGAAAAGCCAATGTTCTATCTTTTGAGGTCCTTAAGTTTTAATTCCAATACAATCACACCATGGCCTGCCTGAATATTTAACCTTCACTAAGAAAATTAAGATAGTAAACAAAAATCAACAACAATGTAACAAGAAAAGCCTACATCAAAGGCATGGTAAAACTCTCTTTGAGTTGCTGTTGGAAGGAATCTAAAAGACTGTCAAAACAACATAAGCTACTGCCATTGCTTTGATTGCCTCTGAAAACTTGAAGGTAAGGCTCTGTTGCTGAAAATAACACACATTTATAGGACTGGAAGAATCCAGCTTGAACTGATGATGAAGCCTCCTCCACGAGGACTAGCTTTACTGGAAGGTGCTATACAAGTTGCTAAGGGAGAGAAGCAATCAATACTTCTACTCAGCTGTGATGCCAATAGACCTGCCTGGAAACATCCCCCCAATATTGCAACAGTGAAACGGTGAGATGACTGACTTATGGCCCACTTAGAGGAAGTAATTCATTCCTGGTACTTAGAACCAAGTCAGCTACCCAGAAATAGAGAGGTCATAGGTTCTAGAAACAAACTATTATGGCCATTTTCCTAAACCAGTGGAATTTAAAACTATATTCTAAATATTTATGCTTAAACCCAGAGCTAAATATAGTTTTCATCCCTCATTAAAGAAGCTTTTTAAAAATACAAATGGAGACTAACATAAAATTATAACTGGTCAAAATACAGATAAAATATGACTATGGATGCCCAACACCAAATGATACATATGCAACACAACCTTTACACCTATGGCTCAGGGAATTTCATGGAAAAGGAGAAAGAAATATTGTAAGAGCCAGAGGATTGTAATGTCTGTTGTATCCCATAATTATTTTTTCCTAATTTTTCTAACTACTGTCATGGGGAAAAGTCATCTATTTCTATGAGAACAGTGAGAATTTGTCAAAATTCAGAGGAACTAAAATCATACAATTTTATGTTGAACTTACTTGTGCTGATTGGTAGTTATCTATTTCAACTTAGTAGAAACTTCAGCTACCAGGTTTCTTGAAAAGAATTTTCAGAAACTTCTTTCTAAGTGCTATTACTAAGTTTTGTTTTAGATAATTGATGTATGGTTGCTAATTTTAAACTTATAAAAATACATATTGCTGGGCATGGTGGCACGTACCTGTAATCCCAGCACTCAAGGAGGCAGTGGCAGGCAGATCCCTGTGGGAACATCCTGGCCTAAAAAGCCAAGGCTACATAGAGAAAGCCTGTCTCAAAAAACCAAAGCCAAACCAAAACAAAATAAAACAACAAAACCCTACAAATTTCGACTTAATTCAATTTCAGTATAAACAACAGCTTAATTTATTTAGTGTTATAATCTCAAAAGTCATTAATTGTTTCTAAAATAAATACATTTAGTAAATATGTGTGTAATTATTTTATGATAATATGCTTACTGCTATATTTTATAAAACTTTACATACATGCACATGGACAAACATATGTAAATAGATATCACATACATATACATAGAGAGAAAGAATGAACAAACACATGAACAGGCATACCTTTGCTCTTGTATCAAATTTTTCTGCCACAGTAGGTGTACAGGAGATATTAAGAACAGTTATTTCCCCAAATGGGATTATTCCTTCTGATGGAACAATATTAATGTTAGGCAAAAGATTATGACCATCAATCTGTAATTAAAAATTGGTTAAGATTTTAAATAATTTTATATTTCCATTTGATATAAAGAAAATATCTACAATAATAATTTTCTTTGGAAAGGAATACACACACACAAAAAAAAAACACTGATCAATCTGAATAATATTCCTTGTATGTATGTGTCCATTGAAGGCATAGAACAACCATTTGGTGTTTTCCCTGGGGAAGACTATTCTCCTATTCTCAGTAATACCTATTTGCCTATAGTCCTTTGAATAATTTTAGAGTTGAACTTACTCAACTACCTTGCCGTATCTATTACTTTTTTTCTTACATTATTAACTTCATTTCATAAATTGATCTTTATGAGAAAAAGTTGTTAAGATGCTACAGTGACTTTCAAAACAATTATATCAAATATTTTACAGGAAAGAATCTATTGTACTTCCTATAGAGAGGCTCAATGAGCATATGATATGAGGTGATTTTTGTAATAACATTTTGTGTATATCAAATACAGAAAACATATGAATTACAAAAATTATTTCAATCTAATCCTTGTTGCTACCATGACATTGCTGACTACAAAATGACAAATGAAAAAAAAAAAAAGCATGTACTGAACTATGTATTGTAGCATTACTTTGTACTTATATTAAAAATTTTAGTTGTTTTTTGTTTACTAAACCTGGGAACGGTTTGGAGTGACCATGGACTTCACACTGTATTCCCTGGTGCAGGATATATGGCCCTGCTGTGCATGAATGCCATCACCATGCTACACAAGGAGCACTTCCTCAAGAACATTGGCTGGGAACAGATCAGGGAATTGGATTTAGAGAAGGGCCAGGAATTAAATTTCAACTAATGAACTTTATTCAGTCAGTGAGAACCATGATGAGAGTGCCATTGATAACCATGAGCTCATTTGCTATTATATTGCTTTTTTTATTAGACAGAACATTTTTGGGAAGTCAGTGACACAGAGGAAGAGATACACCCTAAAAAGTCATTGTTTCTATTGTGACTGGAATATTCATGGGAAAGTAGAAGGAAAAACATGATAAAATATATTCAGAACCACCCCAAGGTGGGATCAGTACTGTTAGGCCACAGAGGAGGACATTGCAGCCATTCCTGAAGATACCTGATAAAACAGGGTCAGATGAAAACAGGGACCTCCTCCCCTACCAGTGGACTTGGAAAGGGGTAAGGAGGAGATGAGGGGGGGTGGGATTGGGAGGGGATGAGGGAGCAGGATACAGAGTTAACAAAATGTAACTAATAAGAAAAATAAAATAAGAAAATAAAAAAAGAAAAAAAAATAGAAAATCTACTTATAATAAGTTGAACACTGCCTTGAGTCCACCTAGAAAAAGTAAAGTATTAATTTCATAGCATATTTGGAAACAATAAATTAACATGACCAAAATTCTGCATTACCTTAAAATAAGCATGGTTTTGCCCTACATTGTGAAGAACGGCTTTCCTCCAATTAGTTAAACCTTGGGAACTATTACTGAATATTATTCTTGGCTCTAAAAGCTTGACTCTAGTGTGACCAACCTGATAATGAAAAAAAGGAGAAATTATTAAAAAATAAAAATACTTTATTTGATTTTCTCAGAAAATTAAATACAAACAAATAACATTCACCTGCTCCAGCACATATGTGTGTATATATATTTATGTGCATCTTCATACTTTTAAACCTATAAATATATAACTTTTATGAATTGTTCCAGTGTGTTCTGCTCATAGCTTGAAAAGGTCTTAATATGTACAAAGAAATGAAGCCAATTTTCCTCATTGGTAAAAAGAGGAAAGTAATGAAAGAAATGACAAAAATACTCTCCTGTCACATATCTGAAAATTCAGCTTGGAGAATTTTAAAATATAACATGTTGATATATTTTGATAAATCCTTAAGACAAACAAAATCAAAATGTAATGACTAACAGTTACTTCGTCAATGTGATGGTGGACAATAATTACTGCTAGAATGCTTCCCTAGTATGTGCAAAACCCTAGGTGTGATACTCAGCCACAACACACACACACACACCCACACACACACACACACACACACACGGGTTCCATAACTGTGGAATGCTGAGAATATCCTGTAGAATGTTGAGAATATCTCTATGGCAGAAGTGATCCCTAGACTAAGAAACATATTGAATGTACTAATTATTGAAAGGCTATTAAGTGCATACAGTGTATTTTTGTGTGTTATTAAACAGAATTCAAAGGCCATCTATTGAGAACATGTTGTTTAAAATGGAATCACCCATAAGTTATCTTCATTTAGCTTACTGTGCAGTTACCTTGGCCTACATAAGAATGAGGACATATCTCACTTAGATTGATAAAATTACATGGACAAAGAGATTTGCCACTTCCTTCTAAGAAAAGCACCTCATAAAACTAATAAATCAAAGAAACTATTTTCAAATGTGGTCGTTATGCATGTATATAGTAATAAAGTGAAGTAAACAGGCATCAAGGATAACTAACGCATTGTGTCCAATGTGTTGAGGTGAGTGCATTTTACACTAGACATTGATGTTGTTATTAATTTGTTGTTGTATTGGGTTTTAATATATTCTTGCAATTATTTGAAACTGGAATGATAAACTTTCAAACTAAGCTAAAACAGAAAAAAAGTATATGAGTTTTTATAAATATATGATAATCCTTAATTAACATTGTATTTAAACATTTTATGTTCTTTCATCTAGCTTTCTTAAAAATTAAAATTAAAGATTTCAAAGCTTTATCTGAAATGGTACAATTTACTATTGATTAATCTCAGTTATTTCCTTGTCTAATTCACTATTTATTTAACTCACTTTTTTCATTTCATAGTTTAATTATTTCATTTTTATTAAATCATGGGGTAGGGAACAGTAAAAACAAATTTAATTAAGGCCTGTGGAGACAATTTGGATCTGGAATAAAATTACAACTAAGCCAATTCTGGTATTTATGAACTTATATTAGTTACTTCGGCATCATGACCTTCCAATTCTTCATCTATTAAATTGTAATATATATTATATATATGAATATATACATTAAATGTTTCAGAAATTTTTAGGGATGAGTTAATAAATGCCACTTAGCCTGGCACTTGACATATAGTAACTACTCAGTAAGTAGTATATATCATTGATGCTTATTTTATATTATTAAATTCCTCATTTTTATATGTTAGTGAAAAATACATATAGGTTGAGTATCAGAGAAAAAGTTCATTATTAAACTTGTGAGACACAATTATATAAGCATTAGATAAATACTGTGCATATGCTTACTGAGAGTTGAAACAATGAAAATTAGGCATGTTGGCTAAACACTTGAAATACATATTCTTAATAGCCACGCAAATAGTAAGTGACAATACAGTCACGTTAAAGAGGTACTTTTTAAAAAGGGCAATGAATTATCTACAAACATATACATCAGCATACACTAGTATTAAAAACTTAATTATAATTATAACAGGAAGTTATATACATAATGACATAGTTTGATTGTGTGGATATAAGTTTTATGCCATAGTTAATTTTCTCATATGTAAGGAAAGTGATAACCTTGAGTGAAATATGGTTATAAGAAATGTGGCCTGGGGAAGGTTATGCTAATCATCTTCTTTTTCTATATCTGGGTGATCTGTGAATAGTTACAAGACTCTACAAATTGCAGTCCCTAAAATTGTAGAGTCTCTTATGTAGAAGCTACATTCACTTTCACAAATGAAACAGATTAACTCACTATATCAGAAAATATAGATAAAATTCAGTAAAAGTACATGAATTACTTAAAATTTCTTACAGAATTAGATATGATACACAAGCAAAATACATTCTCAATGACCAAAATTCATATTGTTAGGGAATCTTGGTTTATAACACGGAAAGACACTTAGGTATAGATCACATTTTTATTTTTATTTTAAGAAATATTCTATAATAATAAAAGTCTTGTTTCCTCTATATAAATTATGATCTTTCCCATACTAAATTATTAATTAGTACTACAATATTAACAGTATAATATAGTGGGAAATACAATTTTCTCAAAATATTGTATGTTGAATGTTAATGAAACAAGTTATTGGTAAGTGGCTCCCTGGATGCTTTTATGTAGTTATAGAGACTTTCAATCTAGTGTTTCCACAAAGTTCTTGGATACCTGAGTTACTTTTTCATTCATAGTAGACAATTAGCTAAAATAAATATTACATGAATTCAGTTTTTACGTGAACACGTAAGACATCTCTATATCCAGACAATCTAGACATTCAAGATGAAAATCACATTCAAGAGAAATAATTACATGTGCAGTACATATCAGTGTCAAAGTATTTCCTCCAGAAACTTGAAGCATAAATTCTCCTGTCTCTGGAGAACTAAAACCTGGATGCCAGATGACTTCACATTCCAATGAACAAAATGGATCAACAACACCTACAGAGAACAAGATAAAATTAGACACCATGTTTTCATTATTTTTCTGTAGACATTCAAGATAAGAGCTGGTGTAAAAGTGTAATGTCATTATAAAACAAATTAAAACTAAATTTAAATAACAAATAATAAGTGAGGCATTAGTAAAGGAACACAGTTTTACAGAATTTCATCAAAAGCAAAATATAAATTGTTTTCTGAGTTGGTAAAAGAAATGTATAGCAAAATATATCAATGCAAAAAAGCAACAAAAAATGTATCATAGCAATAAGCATTAGGGCTAGACAGACACAGACAATAGAAAATCACTAGTGACATCTGACAAAATTAGCTCCTCTAATTTTCCAATAATCTGCTTTCATAAGAAAGAATTACTATTGTGACACTTAACCTAGAAATTAATTTTTGATGGAGCTAAAAGTAATGAATGTATCTCTATAATTCAAATGCATTGAGAGATGATGTGATATCAAAAACATCAAGTGTAAAATGTTGGACTTTCTTAAAGTCACAATTCAAAAAGAAATGATACAGAAGAGTGCATAATGAGAACATGAGAGAGGGGAAAAATGAATTAACCCAAGAAAATAGAGGAAACTTCATTGTACTATATATGAATTTTGACATGGAGGATGGATGACCTGGAAATTTGCAAGAGGGCAAAATTTTGGGAGAAACATAAAAATGACACTAAAAAGATTAATTTAATTTTAAAAAGCAAACAATACCTGATGGGAAAATAAGTTTGAAGTTATTCCTCAGGAGGAAAGAAGTTTCTGAAATTTGGGGATATTAAACACTAAATGGAATAAATACATGAGTGAACATTACAAACAAACAAACAAACAAAAATTAGCATTAGTTTGACTTGCATGCAGTGTTATTTTTTTAACTTAAAAAATAGGGCCACTTGTGGTGGCATATATGCCTTTAATCCCAGCACTTTGGAGGCAGAGGCAGGTAGATCTCTATGAGTTAGAGGTCAACCTTGTCTATGAAGCAAGTCTAGGACAGCCAGGGACAGTAGACCACTCTGATCTTCCTGAAGAATCCTCCGGAAACCAGAGAAAGACAGGACCGGATTGAAGTTCAGACTCCAGAAACAAACAGTGAAGGTTACGGATAAGCAGAAGGCCACAGGTTGGAGTAAGAATACACACAACAAAAATCAGGACATCATGGCTCCACCAGAAACCCCAAAATCAATGGATATTTTTTAATTCAGCAGAAACACAGGAAAATTACTTTAATACTATGCTTAGACAGTTATTAGAGGCATATAAAGAGGATATGAACAAATCTCTCAGAGAAATAGCCACACAAGTGGAGGCAAACTAGGAAACAAACAAAGCTCTCAGGGAAATAGTCACACAAGTGGAAGCAAATAAAGAGGAAATGCACAAAGCTTTCAAAGAAATACAGACAAATACAGCCACACAAGTAGAGGCACAATTAATGGTATATATAGAGGAAATGAACAAAAAAATAGAAGCCATAGTAGAAAGACAAGAATCTACATTCAAACATATGAAGGAAATGGTATAAGACATGAAAACAGAATTAGAATCAATAGAGAAAACCATGAAGCTGGACAACTTAGAGAAAAGATCAGGAACTACAAAGGTAAGCATCACCAATAGAATACAAGAGATGGAAGAGAGAATCTCAGGTGCTGCAGATATACTTGCTGAAATTGATACTTCTCTCAAAGAAAAAGTAAAATTGGAAAAGTCCGAAACACAAAACATCCAAGAAACCTAGGACATCATGAAAAGATCAAATCTAAGAATAGATGAAAGGAAGAGTCTAGGCTCCAAGGTCCAGAAAATATTTTTGAGAAAATCATAGAAGAAAATTTTCCCAACTTGAAGAAAGAAATGCATACAAGAGATACATATGTATGAAAACAAACAAGAAGACTACAGAACACCAAATAGACTAGACCAGAAAAAAAAATTCTTCACATCACATCATAGTCAAAACACAAAATCTACAGAACAAATAAAAAAATATTAAAGGCAGCAAGAGAAAAGGGCCAACTTAACATATGAAGATTGACCTATCAGGAACACACCAGACATCTCAACAGAAAATATGAGAGGCAGAAGGGCCTGGAGAGATGTCATGCATCCCTTAGGGGACCACAGATGCAAACAGAGACTACTATACCCAGCAAAGCTTTCAATCAACATAGATGGAGAAAACAAAATATTCCATAACAAACTAAATTTAAACAGTATCTATACAGCAACCCAGCCCTACAGAAGATACTAGAATGAAAACTCCAATCCAACAAAAACAACTACACCCAAGAAAACAAAGGATACAGATAACTTTCACAACAAAAATTAAAAGAAAACAAGCAATGAATCACAGTAAGACCACCAACTCCACAACAGTCATTGATCACTATTATCTTTAAATGTCAATGGACTTAACTCTCCAATAAAAAGAAACAGACTATCTGAATGGTTGTGGAAACAAGATCGAACATTCTGCTGCATCCAAGAAACACAACTCTGCAACAAAGGTAAAAACTACCTAAGAGAGTAGAGGGCTAGAAAAATGTTTTTCAAGCTAATGGACCCAGAAAACAAGCTGGGGTAGCTATTCTACTATCTAATAAAATAGACTTTCAACCAAAATTAATCCAAAAAGATGAGGAGGGGCACATCATTCTCATCAAAGGAAAAATTCATCAGGAGACCATCACAATACTAAAAATCTATGCCCCCAAAACAAGAATGCTACATTTATAAATGAAACATTATTAAAGCTTAAATCACACACTGATCACAACACCTTAATATTGGGAAACTTCAACATTCCACTATCACCAAGGACAGATAATCTAGACAGAAACTAAGCTGGGGAAATAAAGGCACTTACAGAGACCCTAAATGAAATGGACCTCATAAATATCTACAGAATATTCACCCCAAATCAAAAGAGTACACATTCTTTTTAGCACGTCATGGAACCTTCTTCAAAACAGACCACATAATTGTTCACAAAACAAGCCTCAATACATACAAGAAGAAAGAAATAATAACTTGTATTCCATATGACAAGCATAGACTAAAGCTGGACCTCAACAAAAACAGAAATAGCAAAAAGCACATGGAAAATGAACAACTCCCTACTCAATGACAGCTTGGTTAGGGAAGAAATAAAGAAAGAAATTAAAGACTTCCTAGAATTCAATGAAAATGAAGGCACAACAAAGCCAAACTTACAGGACACAATGAAAATAGTCCTAAGAGGAAAATCCATAGCACTAAGTGCCTTCAAGAAGAAATTTGAAACATCTCATACAAAAAAACTTAATGACTGAACTGAGGTCCTAGAAAAAAAGAAGCAGACACACCCAAGAAGAGTAGATGGAAGGAAATAATCAAACTCAGGGCTAAAATCAATAAAATAGAATCAAATAAAACTATTCAACGAGTCAATGAAACCAAGAACTGGTTCTTTGAGAAAATCAACAAGATAGACAAACATTTAGCCAAACTAATGAAAAGCCAGAGTGAAATTCTCCAAATCAGCAAAATCAGAAATGAAAAGAGAGGCATAACAACAGACACTGAGGAAATCAAAACAATCATTAGGTCTTATAACAAAAGCTTATATGCCACAAAATTTGAAAATCTAAATGAAATGGATAATTTTCTTGACAGATTCCATCTACCAAAATAAAATCATGATCAGGTAGAAAGATTGAAGAATCCTATATTTCCTAAGGAAACAGAAGCAGTCATCAAAAGTGTCCCTTCCAAAAAAAATCCAGGGAGAGATGTTTTCATACAAAATCCTACCAGACCTTCAAAGAAGTGCTAACTCCTAGGCTCTTCAAACTATTCCATGAAATAGAAACAGAAAAAACATGATCAAACTCATTCTATGAAGCCACAGTCACCTTGATACCTATACCTCACAAAGACCCAACTAAAAAAGAGAACTTCAGATCTATCTCTCTTATGAACATTGATGCAAAAATACTCAATAAAATACTTGCAAACAGAATCCAAAAGCACATAAAAGATATCATCCACATGACCAAGTAGGCTTCATCCCAGGCATGCAGGGGTGGTTCAATATACGGAAATCCATCGATGTAATCCATGATATAAACAAAATGAAAAAGAAAAACCACATGATTATCTCCTTAGAAGCCAAAAATCATGTGACAAAATCAAACTTCCATTCATGTTTAAAGTCTTGGAGAGATCAGGGATACAAGGCACATACCTAAACATAGAAAAGGCAATATATAGCAAGCCTATAGCCAACATCAAACTAAATGGAGAGAAACTTAAATCAACCCCACTGAAATCAGGGACAAGGCAATGCTGCCCACTCTTGCCATATCTCTTCAACATACTACTTGAAGTCCTAGCTAGAGCAATGAGACAAGTAAAGTAGATTAAGGGGAAACAAATCAGAAAGAAATAGTTCAAAGTTTCATTATTCGCAGATGATATGATAGTATACCTGAGTGACCCCAAAAATTCAACCAGAGAACTCCTTTAAGCTGATAAAAAACTTCAGCGAAGTGGCTGTATACAAAATTAACTAAAAAAAATCAAAAGCCCTCCTGTATAAGCAAGACAAAGAAGCCACGAAAAAAATCAGGGAAACAACAACCTTCACAATAGCCATTAATAACATAAAGTACTTTGAGGTGACTCTAAACAAGCAGGTGAGGTAAAAAACCTGTTTGAAAAAAACTTCAAGTCTCTGAAGAAAGAAATTCAAGAAGACATCAGAAGAAGGAAAGATCTCCTTTGCTCATGAATCAGTAGGAATAACAGTGAAAATGGCCATTCTGCCAAAAGCAATCTACAGATTCAATCCAATTCCCATTAAAATACCAACACAAATCTTTACAGACCTTCAAAGAAAATTAATCAACTTCATATGGACAAACAAAAAACCCAGAATTTCCAAAATGATCTTGTACAACAACAGATCATCTAGAGGCATCTCAATCCCTGATCTCA